GAGAAATGTAAAAATAAAATATTTATGATGATGAAAAGATTAATGAAGATGACAGTATATATCATTGGCGAGTCTAATAAGGATATACTCTTTTTTTCCTGAACAAATGATTAAATCTGTATTCACGAAATCTCAAGATCCTTAATAGTTTACTACTTGATTTAAAACCATGAATCGTACAGAAAATCGTAAACTCTGAAAGAAACATGTAGCTACGAAATATAAAAAATTTTGACAGGATCTTAGAAGCATTCTGAATAGTTTTCCATTGATTTTATGTTAATATTCTACCAGGATTTCAATGATTCTTCAATGAAAAAAATATTTTCTGATTGCACATCGCAAGATTTTCTAAAGAGAATTACGGAATTTGTAAACACGAATGTGTGTGTTTATGAAAACTATTGCAGAACAAGCATTACTTTGGTTTTTATGAATGACGGAACTAATAGTCAATTCTCATCTCCCTAGCAATTAGCATTACTCCGTTGAGAGTTCTTCACTTTTAAATCCATCATTGTAAGAATACTGAATAGAATCAGTTATAAATCTTAATAGAATTCTGAATACACTCTAAGGACAAGCATGTAAAGATCTAAACTAGATCCCACGTATTTTTCGCACCAATATTTCTATATAAGACTTCAAAAAATCTTGTTCCTGATAAATTCATACCTATCAGAAATACGATAGTGTCAGTGTATTCTGAGGATGTGATATGTACAATATAAATAGTCCTAGAAATTCAATATTCTATACAAGTTCATTTGTTTTAGGTAGATTCCTTTTCTCATTATCAAATACATTTAAATGAGTCATATAGAGAAGAAATTTTCATTATCAATCGAAATTAATATGAACGATCGTGAAGTAAATAGAAATTATCGTAATGAAAATGATATTTTTCATGGTTTTATACCTCTATGGGCATTGGTTTTATTTAGTCTTGCGATTATATTTCTTATTATATTTATTGCAGGTTTAATATGTCATTTGTTTGGTTGTCGACGACCAAAACAAGATCAAACGGATAATATTCATTCATCAATTTTGAAACAACCATTACTTGCAGAGAACAATCAACAACAAACAACTTCAATCAAATCAAATAAATCAATACAAAAATCTAAAGATACTCTATTCTAAATTTAACATCATTATTTAAATAAATTAAATTTGTTTCGTTAAATATAAATCTATATGAAATTTTCTTTGTCTTTATTCAAAAATGAACAATTTATAAATATCGAAGAGTTATATTAAAAAGCAAAATATTTCTTGTCAATAATAATTTATAACAAAAAGAAAAAAAACCTGTTAATAATTTTTTCTTTCAAATCAATACTATCCAACAAAATCTTGTCTTTTAATATATCTAGATATTGCCAGCAAGTACATTTGAAAACTACTAAAATTAGATCGTAAATGCTTTCAAAGGTTCCAACTCGTGATATACATCAAACGAAAGAGTTAAATCTTAATTTTTGAGATCTCCTAGCATTGAACTACCTAAAAAATTTGACATTCATAATTTTATACAGGAGATTTCAATTTAAATACTGTACTCTATGTAGTAGTGTCATGTATGAAGAAGGATTATCTAAATAATGAACTTTTCTTTCAGAGCGTAAAGATTTAATTCTTATGCGTGCATCAGGTGCTTTAGAAACTCATCCATACAATGCCCGTTTTCTGGGACTCAATCACGTTGCACCTATGTCTCTAACGCTGAGTTACGCTTCTGACTCATCGATCAAATACTAATGACAGTAGACAGCAAATCGATGTTTGTGTTAAAATGAGAAAATCTTACTTTGGGATGCATTTATTTTCGTTCTATGCGAAATGTTCTATCAATTTCTATTTGCAAATTATTGAATATTAAGAAAAACAAAATAATATCGAATACATAACATAAAAATATAAATCAGCGAAATACGACAAGCAATACATGAGAGAATAATATACTCGATCAGATTATTTATCAAATATTTTGATGTGTTATGCTGCATACAAACCTATTGTGCATAGCTTTCATTTGGTTGTATTTAAGAGACAGAAACATTGAAGAAGAAATTCTCTTAAGGCTACAGAGAAATCATTCATTCATTAATTTTTCTCAGAAAAATATATTCTCAACTGCAACTTTCAAATCAGTGAAAACGAATATATTTTTTTTACACTCAGAAACTGTTTACATCAATAGTGTTCAATTAGTTAAAATCAAGATTTTTTGCTCTTTCAGATTTCCCTTTTAAGATAAGATTGAACAACTATCAGTTGTGGAAAAAGTCCAAAACTGTTTCTATACAAAGCAAAATATCGATTTTTGTACAGTTGTTATTTTGTTTCTTGGAACAGCTTCAATTCATCACAATTGAAGAGCACGAAAATTCTGTACCAAATGAGATCTTACAATAAACAGAATTTCATATCACTCAAAATCTATATATTTTCACTAAAAATCTAGTTTCTATGGAAACCAATATTAGCCAAAAAAAAACTTCGCTTTTAAAAATACAAAAGTTTTAAAATCTGTTATGCAACATAGAACAAAAAAGTAAATAGTAAACTTTGTTGAGTGAATGGAATCCTTTAAAAACTGTATCGTATTTTGAATTCTAACCAATAGTCTTGTAGTGTCTGTATTGAATACAGAACTTCGCTTTTTACATTGTCAATATGTTCTATCAAAAGATTAAAAACGTTGTCTATCCATAACAGAAAATTTCTAGGGAGAAAGATAGAACGCAAGAAAAGGGGAGACATCACGTTGCTTCCCTCGACTATGTGGTATATTGATAATGGATATGACTAGATTATTTCACCTCATTCTTTTCGAATTGTAAACAAAGAAATCATATAATCGATAATGTATTTTATATAATAAAACAAAAAGTCATAATAAGGTTTATAAAAAAAAAGTTTCGTGTTTTAATGAAAAAATACATAATAAAAAGTTACTTTTTCATCTTGATTAAATTTATATAAAAGTTTCATCTGACAAAACGACTTTTTGATAAATAGTATACAATAAAATAATAAAATAATAACTAAGAAGAAAAGAGAAAGATCTATTTTTTGAATCGTTTTACTGATGGTTTTATTTCTTTATACATATAATCATCAATTGTATCTTGACTTCGTTTATGTGATAATATTTTATTACTTTCATCTTTGAACATATGATCTTGAAAATATTTACTTGGTGCTTTTTTTATTACAAATGAATCAAGTGTATTTTTATTTGATGATACTGTTTTACTAGAAAATAAAATAATAAATAATTTCTATATATTTAATAATACATTACTTTTCTTTATCAACATCAATCGGTTGAATATTATTAATATCATTAAATTTTGTTGAACCTACATTTGGTGTTACTCGATACATTTTAATATCATTATTTGGTACAAGTAATGGAAGAACCTAGAAATAAATAAATATATATATATATTTAATATTATTTTTCTATTTGAAGAAAAATAAAACTTTTACTTGTTCAGTTTTAAATCGTCCAAAATCAAGCCATTCATCTATTTCACGTTGACTTGATAAAATTGCCTAGAAATCATTTTTTCACTTAATAATTATTCAAAATCTATTTCTTACTGGCATTCGAACATGTACTTTACGCATTGTTTCACTTGCATCTACTGTACATATCGAACATGTATATAATGGTTCACTCTATATAAAATAATAATTTTTTTTTTTGTTTTTGAATAATTAAAATGTAATAAATACTTCACAATGTTGATTAATTTCAAAAAGACCAGCCATAGCTAATAATGGTAATTTATCTTTTTCAGATTGTTGAGACATTTTTTCGATATTAATATTTGGATAATGTTTTTCATTAAGAAATGGTTCTGTTTGATAGATAAAGAAAGGTGTTTTCGATACATTCTTCTTCCATTCGAAGAATCTTAAGAAAAAAAAAAGAATTTATTTTTATAATAATAAAATTTTTCAAACATAC